ATTCTTTCCCCCGTTGTAGTTTTTCCTCCCTCTCTACCAGGGAGGCTGGAACAGAGTGAGCAGCACTGCCTCACTGCAGCTCCAGAAAAAGAAAACTAAACATGTCTATGTTCATCTCTAACCAAAGGTCTAGACTGGTCCTGCCTCCTTTGCTGGTAAGAATTTAAATAGACAGAAATGACAAGCATCTCAACAAGAAGAGCAAAAGGGAGTGGGTTTGGCTCTTGCTTCCTAGAGCAGGGACTTGCAGATGCAGCTTTCATCAAGGGGTTCTTTGAACAACTGAAGGCAAATGGATTTATGTTATCACATGTGTGACACATGATAGGACAGCCACAAGATGTCATAACACAACAAAGGACAATGAGAAGTAAAACCAGAAAGGATTGTACTGAAACCTTGAAGGTAATTTTGTTACTATGTTCTGCATAACTCAGACCCTGGCAAACACTTGGGGAAAAAGGTCTCTTTCTTAAAAATGGAAAAATCGCGACCTCTTAAGCTGAGGTCTGAGAAAGTTTTCCACTGCTCTCCTCTATAATTCAAGACCTTCATCAAAAAAATTAGGAAATTAAGTGATCCTGAGATTTCTAAAATAAAACATGTTGAGACAGAAAATCTCTTCCATCCCCTCAAATCTTTTGCATACATTGTGAACAGGAAGAAAGACAGCAAGGCAGTGGAGGAAGGTAGGGGAACAAGAAACAGTTTTTACCATAGCGGTCATTTTTAACAACTAGATCATCAAGACTGTAATAAGTGTTGCTCCAGTAAAACAGCAAGCAATAAACTGTAAAACAGAAGAATGTATCATGGCAAATTGATGAAGAGGTAACATGAGATGCATTTTCTTGGAGTAACTAGGTAAGTTATCTCCTGAAGAATGATTGTTAAAGGAAGAGTTTCCAGATGGTGAGAAGGATCAAGCCTCCCCCTGCTTTTACTATTTTCTACTAAATTGAAGAAAAAAAAATCCTTAATAATGCAGTAATTGCCTTTTTATTTGATTTTTTATCGGCATCTTTTAGGAGAATGTGAATATTTGCACCGCTCTTACTATCAGATAATCTAAGAGTAGTCATATGAAATCTACATTATCTATGTAAATGTCTCTGTAAGATGCAGTGAGATGGTTCTTTTTTTGGTAACAGGCTGCACAATTGCATGCTGTACTGTTCTGGTTCAGAATGTTCCTCTTTCTCCAATTAGAGAAGACCAGCCCCATGTTGATCACTTTATCTTTGATTTCCAATGATTTAAAAGATTGGCTTGACCTGTGATCATTAATAAACTTTGTGGTATTGTCCTGATTTAGTAAAGGAACCGCTAATATTACTAACAAGGTTATGAATCAGCCATTAATATTAAAGTCAGCTATATTTTTCCAACATTTCATGCCTCATGCAATAATGTGAAAGGGGTGTACATTGCATGCAACTCAGATGAGCTGATACAGAACAACACAGTGGTGACAACTGATCCCAAAAGAGATAAAAGATCTACTTAATCTGAAATACTCTTGAGTAGTTTGGAAAGTGTAAGTTACCTCTTGTGAGCCTAGCCCTTTCTTTCTAGTGGTATAAAGCACTGAGAAATTATCGGGGCCATTTCAGCTCCACGGAGCTGTGCTGCAGCAGTCAGAGGCAAGAAGGCCTCCCCAGACAGCTCTCCAGTCCTCCCAGGTGACTGCTGCTTGCTGTGTCTTGGCCAAGTTAATTTTACATCTCCTAGGCAAGGGCTTTCCTGCCTGGAGATTGCTCTGTTGCTTTATATCATCTCCACTGGCTAGAGGGGTATTGGGTTCACTGAAAGGAAATGTTTCTTGATAGCCACGCCGCATTTTCTCCATACATAGCTTCTAGGTCTATTTGCACACACCAGGCTACACTGCTTTCCTGCTGGTTTCTGCAGGAGAACGATTTCAAAAGCAGGATACTCATTTCATTTATCTATATGGGCATTATTATGTAATTTTGGCTAGATATGTATAGTCATATATATATGTGTGTGTGTGTATATAAAAATATATATATAAACCACCTTTCAGGTATATATTCAAGGCTCTTATTTTTCCCATCAATCAACCCGCTCTAGTTTCTGGAACATTTCACCTCATATTTTGCTGTCTGCTTATAACTAGATACTGTTTTTCCAGGAAGCAAACTACCAAACTTGTGTGATGTTCCAGCCCTGGTTTCAACACTTCTGGTACATACTTCCAGCGCCACACTGCAATGCCTCCTCACCTACAGTCCCTGGTGCCTCACCTCTCCTCTGCCCTCTGACTCTGAAAAAGCTGGGTCACATCTACCTTCTACCATCACCTCCTAGACTCTTCTCTTTACCTTCCTCAAGATCCTCTCTGTCCTTTGCAGTCAGACTCTTTCTATCCCCTCTATGAATTCTGGCTTGTTTTTTTTACTTTTAGACTACTTATTTTTGGCCTGTCATTTAAATTTCTTTTGAGTCATTGTTATTATCGAGCCAACATTTATAAATAGCACTATGCATTGCAGGTATGGGATAATCAAGTCCTTTGATTTTTGAGCAATTTGGTTACTAAATGATAGCAATAAAAAGCGTGTAATCATCATGGGCGTTAGCCCAGGAAATGTTTCTACCATTAAAGCTTTCAGGACGTAGATGATGATTCTGGTAAAAATTTATGGCTCTTAATAATGAGTGTTATGATTTACCAGTACAACACTAAATGGTGAGGTGTCATAACAGCTATGGGTAATACCTGGGGGCGATGCTTTTCAGAAAAATAGTAATCTATTAAAAGGAAGAGAAGAAAAAGCCTTTTGTGTATGTAAAGAGGTGATCTATTTTTAAAAAGTGCATAAAAATTTGTTGTGTACATTATGGCTAGCGTGATGTAAAAAGGCAGAGAAAAAGGCTAGTTAGCTTTTTCTCACAGCTGCAAAGTATGTGTGGAGCTGTGTGGATGTATAGATATTACTGTTTTCAGCTTCCTCAAGAAAACCCTATGAACACTAGAAGCCACCTAAACTGACACAAAAGACATTAACTTGTCATGGGAAGAAAACTTACGCTCCCCTCAAAATCATATGTAGTCTTAAAAGCAGAAAGTAAAAGCATCTGCATAACTGTACACATCTACATGCAACACTGTGGGCATTTATTTTAGGCAAATTTGCAGCAGCAAGAGGAATCATAACACAGGTCATAAATACGCACTGCAACAGCACGGCCCCTGCTGAGGTAAGTGGGTGTTGTGCCTCTGTCAGGTCTGGGAGAATGGGGCTTTTCTGCTATGCTCTAGCCTCTCTGAATTCAGAGAGGGGTGCCTGCATGTATGCATGTATATTTATACTATTCAGGGATATATACATACATAAGGGCTGTAGTTTTAATTATTTCTGGAAAGAGCACCTGAAGTCCAATGGCAGTCCCCAGCACTTAATTTGGGGTACTGCTAAGCAAAGAGATGCTTCTCACTATGGGCAGACCCAGGCAGGGCTGTGACCCTGCCTGCCCAGGACAGCAGGGACCAAAACTACTCTTTGTACTCCCACCCCTGCCTTGGGGCATGATGTGCCCGTTGTGCCCGGGGACACGGCCCTTGGGCAGCTCCCTGCTCTGGGAAGGGTGAGCAGGGTGGGGGACAGCCAGTGTCACAGGGTCACCTGCACTGCACCAGGGCTGCTGCCACACCAGCATCTGCTCTGCCACCAACCCCCTGTGCCGCTCTGGGGGCCCTGGCGTGACAAAGACTTACCTATGGCAGCAGCCTCCAAGGCTACTCCAGCAGAGAAAATTACCCAGAGATATAAATCTTCATAGGATTATGGCCTTTAAAGACAAGGCTAAGTTCAAGTAATTATTTTTGGGGTAATTTTTTAATTTAATTTTCTACCAGGACGCAGATTACAAAATCCATTTTAAAACAGAAACTTAGCATTATGAATTAATTAAATATGCCCTCACCAAAATAGCTTTTAAAGCACAGTTGGTGCTGCCACAAACCTCATTCTAAAATGTCTTAGGAATTGCTCATACTGGTACGATTAAACCCCCTTATTTATAAAGTAATTTCTTACTATGTTCCACTATAAACTTTTAGAGTAATTTTTTCCATTAATGAAATATCATTAAACTACTAGAGGCAGAAAGGTTTTAGAGTTATTTTTTTTAGCACACAGGATTTGCAATTTCTAAAGCAAAGTAGGAAGTGTAGCATTGTAAAAAATCTGTTTCAGTAGGGGTCTAATCTTTCCCACAGTGAAATCAATTGGGACTTCACTATTGCACTGGATAGTAGGATTTGGCCCTAAATATTTTGGATTTAATGTGAGCAAGCTTGCTTTCCTGAGCAGTCCTGTGGAAGCTGCATGCATTGCCAGGATCAGACCCATATTATGAACAGTCACTACTTAGACGTCTTCTGTTCAGAAATGACCCCTTCTGTCCTTCTATGTGTATATGTGACAGACCTGTGGAACTGCTAATAAATGGGGGGAGTCCCTCTGAGGTCATGCTATTGGGAAACATCATCCAAGAGTCCACATTGAGCATTTACACAATATTCTAGAATCATTTTGGCGAGCATATCCAGTATTTCTCCAGTCAGATCCTACACTTTCACTCTTTTAACCCACAGAGCATAGCAATTCCCAAAAGATTTTGGAGAAGAGAAATCTACAATCATCAAAATGTTAATTTTGACAATGACAAAGAGTACATGCATTAAAAATGCATCAGCCCTGTCATTAAGGCATTATTCAGCAAAACCATCTCACCATGCTTTACAGAAAGCAACTAGAAGAAACCCAGTATAAAGAACCATTTGCTAAGCTTGTATTTACGGGTACCAGTCCAATACATACTACACAAGGTACTCAACCAAGCAAAGAGCAAACAAATCCACGCCCTTTATGTGATGAAATGGGAACTCTTAATAATATTCTAAGTCATGACTCAATGGAAAACGTAAACTAAAAGCTCTGTAAAACCAGAGGAAGGTTTGTAATACAAACCTGGATTTTAAAATAGTGTTTCCATCGCTGTTCTTGCAGCACTTGTGAATGTGGCTGTGTTACGGTGCTGAGCTGACTACGATTTAGCAGCTGATTGTGTCTTTTTAAAGCATAACTTAACATTATTTCTGAGGCTGTTGAACATACTAAACTACAAGGAAAAAAATCTGCTTTCAAGTGGTATTAGAGAAACACGAGGATCAGAGTGCTAGCATCAAAGATGTGTCTAAAGAATAACAGATCCACACGTCTGTGTTACAACGAGCGCTCCACTCACTACTAAAGGCAACAGACTAAGATTGCTCTGGCAGTTGTTGGAAATTATTAAGTAGAACATCGACAGCCTTTCAATCTCTAAGCAAAAGACAGAGAGGAAGACATTCTCCATCAGCCCACCTCACACGCTCAATGATCACCCCATGTCTGGCTTGTCTACGTTAAAAATCATTCCTAGCCCCATCATAGCTGAGGTTGGGGAAGGATGCATTCAAAAAGTCTGTCTTATCACAGGACTCCTGGTCTTGCTTTAAAATGGCTTCTAATCTAATTCACTTAAGGCTGAAATCTGGTCTCACAATTATGACTTCATGGCAACAAGACCTGGGATGATATGGGCATGTGGAGAGGCCTTGAATGGCAGAACACAGGCACGATCACACCCTGCTCCTTTTCTCTGCCAGGCTTGTGGGCAGAGGAGCAGGGGGAAAAGACCAGAACTATGAATGCTATGCCTGGTTTTTCCTAAGCACAACATCTGAAAGACTGATCAGGGTTTTAACGAAATCCTGTACCCTGCTGCTGAGATTAGACAGGACAGATGCACTTTTTCTGTGTTAAAGCAATGGGGCACATCTTGGCCAGTTATGGGAATCAACATCCCTTAGTTGTGTCTCCCACCTCTCCAGCTGCAAGTAGCATTTGAGGAGTCCTGAGCTCTAGAAAAGGACACAAATAAGCCACCACCTGAGCTGCAGAGGGAAAAAAGCCCCTCAGCTTTGGCCCTGAACGTGTGTCTCAATCTGGAGCCTCAGAAGCTGATAAACTCTGCTGGGCTGGAGCTGGTGTGAAGTTGGATTCCTAACCCTGCCCTCCCCAGGTTGCAGGGTGAGGATAAAAGAGCAAGAGGAGCATTGCTCCCATTGAAAGCAAGCGGCCTCAAACTGCTCCCCAGGAGCAGCCCCCGCTGGATGGCCGAACCCCTCGGCAGCCGGGGAAGAGGGGCTTCCCCGGGCATCGGGCGCTCTGGCCGTGCAGGTGTCCCTCCCTGGCGCCGCTAGCACGGGGTGCTCGGCACCTCCCCGCCCGCGGGCACCCCCAGCCCCGCACGGCCCGGCTGCTGCGGGCCCGGGGCCGTGCCCGCCGGCGGGGCGGCAGCCCGGGCTCTGCCGGGGGCGCGGACGGAGCCGGGGCCCTGCGGGCACCCCGTGTCCCGGTGGGAGGGAGCCCAGGGAGGCGAGGCCGGCCGCCTCGGATCCCCATCCGCGCCCCACGCCGGAGAGGGGCGAGGGGCCGCGGACGGAGCGGGCTGGGGCTGCCGACCGAGTGCCGGGGCACCGGGGCTGCCCGGACGGGGCGAGAGCCTCTCCCCTGCCCCGGAGCAGCCGAAGGAGCGCTGCCCGCCAAGGCGCAGCCCGCAGCGCCCGCGGCTGCCCCGGCCACCCTCTGCCGAGGAGCTGGCCCAGCCCTGGGCTTGCTCCCACGCACACACACACTCCGGGCACCCCCTCCGCAAGAGACAGGGCGTTCGAGCTCCCCCCGCCCGGGCAGAGACACAGAATGAAACATTGCAAAGCGTAGGAAAAGATGGAAAAGGTGCTACCTTGGCAACTAGAGGAGGTGAGGAGCCAGCTGGTGGGCTGGGGGCGGTCGCGCTGCCTGCCTGCCTGCCCGCCGCCGGTACTCTCCTCGACTACGCGTATTCTTAAGCAATAACAACGTAATCCGTATTATCCACCCAAGAATACCCGTCACCGAAGAGAGTCAGAAAGCTGCTGCTGTTGCTGCTGCTGGTGGAAGTGCTGCACCGGGACAATAAATCCATAACTATAATTCGCCTCCAGAAGAAGGAGAATCCACAAGGGTTGCCAAGCGATCTTGTCCCATATCCAGTGGACGCTGAACCTTCCCATCCTAAGGAAGCGAACGAGAGGAGTAGGCATTTAATACAGACACGTACAGTCCCTCTGCTCTCCTGCTCCCTTACTGGAGCGGGCAAGAGCTTGCGGGCGAGATGAAAGGAAATAAATCAAAGTAAGGCTGACTTTACCTGGTGATTGCTTGGATTCTTTCTCTGTGCTTCTCTGGTATCCTATTCCCTAGCTGTATGCTCCATCAATTCTCTCTGGGAGCTTGCGAGAGATGTCATACGCAGCAACAGATTCCTGTAAAAGAGATGCACGGTTAAGCACACAAATATTACAAATCTGTTTGCATATGTGGGCTTGGGAAGGCTCCGATAAAGCAGCAGACACGCCTGAGAGACTTTTCATCTGGGCTTTGGAAATGCATTTTACAAGTCCTGACTCACACTGACTCGATGTGCTACCGAGAGGAGGGAGGGTGGAAAGGAAGGCGATGGAGAGGGAAAAAAAAAATCAAAGAAAAAAATAGCAAAGGCTCCGATCTCAGCAGAGGCACTCCTCTGTCAGGCCTCCTAGAGCCATCAAAATCTAAGGCGAAAAAGGCTTCAAAGTACAGATTGAGCGCACTCCGCTCCCCGCGTGTGCCCGAGCGGCGGAGCCGGGCGGCTGCGAGCGCCGAGCCGGGCAGGCGGCTCCGCGGCGCGGGCGGGGGCGGCGGCGGCGGCAGCAGCGCACCTCCGCCCTGACACCTGCCGCCGCCCTGCCAGGGTTTGCAGAAGGCGAACCGGGGGAAAAAATAACAATAATAAAAGAAGTTATTTCCGAATGGCGCCTGCGGCTCTGCCTGTCACCCGGAGCAGTTCCCTTATCAGCAGCGCTCGTGCCTGGGGGAGGCGGGAGGGGGAAGCTTTGTCTGATGATCTGCCGCGGTGATAATAAACGTTTATTGTTCGCCAACTAAATAGAAAGGATCTCTGCAACGTCATGGCACTGCACACTTCACCTAGCGCTAAGGAACTTCTCCGTGCTATTTCACCCCGGCTCTTGATGCTAAGAACAGCTTCCGTGTGAGTGGCGGGGAGGGGGCAATGAAATTAGCACCGCACGGTCCGAACCCGCGCAGAGCAGGGGTACTCCGCACTTCTTCAGCCATGAGTAATTATGCAGCACACACAGCCCTCATTATACACTGCACTCGGTGACTGACCAGCTTGTTGATTAGATTCCAACTGAAATTAATACAAGATGCTTGCTTTTTCTACAGATTTCTTCCTTAACATGAGCCCTTGCCTCCGTTGACGTATTACCACTATGCTTCCTATGAAAACATACGAGAAGACAGCATTTGTTTTGTATCACAGACTCTTAGTTGAATTTGAAAGAAATGAGAAAAACAGTGAAAGAGAAAATAAATACTTTGATAGGTACATTATCTTAAATAATTTAAAAATTATTTCCAATACACCACTCTCCTCTATTTTAATCTCATCTTAGGTATTATTTCCTGTATCCTCTAACAGAGCAAGCTTTCTAGTCGTATTCTAAATGGCAGCTGGAAAGTAAATAACAAACACTGTAATTTTTCCCCGCTGTGAAACTGAAGGCTGTAACCCCATTAGCTGGCATTGGAACTCAAATAACTGATGCAGTGGGTTTCCTTCAACTTGAACAAAAGCCGTTTGAAAAAGTGAAATGTACCGAGTCATGGCGAAAACAGTCTATACTGATACCCTAGACTGATATTCTCCGAAATTGGGAGGCGCTCCACAAATGCATCGAGAATTAGGCAGAAATCCAAACTTTGCGTAGGGCTGGGGGTTTTTTGTTTGTTTGTTTTTTGGTTTGTTTTTTTTTTTTTAATATTAAAGAATGCGATTCTCGGGGAAAAGCAGCCCCGCGCGGCGCCAGCGCTGTGCTCGCTGTGTCCATCTGACACTGCCCTTCCCCTCCCCGAACAACAGCCCCCCCACTACTCCCGCTAATACAGCGCCTGCCGAAACTTCCCGTGCCCAGCCCCGCCGCCGCCGCCCCGCACCGGCCCGGCCCGCCGCACCCCCACCCGCGGGCCCCTCAGCACCCGCGGCCGCGGACAGCGCCGCGCCGCTCCCGGGGCCGCCGCCGCCGCCGGGCCCTGCCAGCCCCGCGCCCCTGCCCGCCCCGGCCCCGGCGCTCCCGGCGGCCGCACGCCCCGGGCACCGGGGCACCGAGCCCCCGCCGCGCTGCCCGCTCGCACCTTCTCCGCGCCGTGCGGGAGGTGCCCGTGGCGGCGCGCCGCGGCACTAAATACCTTTGTTCACCGGCTCCGGAAAGCCATGTTTATCGGCGCTGCCGCCCCGCTCCGCGCAAAAAGAGCCCGGGTGTCGGAGCGCCAGCCCGGCGGGGCCAGGGAAGGGCCCCGGGGAGCACCTCCGCCTCCTCTGCCGTGCCCGCGGAGGGGGACGCACACACCGCACACACACACACACACAGAAGGGAGGGGGATCGGATGGAGGGAATTAAAACAATTAAGCTATCAGCAGCGAAGGTCTGAGCAGAGCTCGGGCTCTCTACGAAAAGCAAATTTCAGAGGGGGGAATATTGATCCCATCCGTCAATAGAGAGGCGCGATGTCTCTCCGTGTGAGAAATTGTTCTGATTTAGGGGGCTCTCTGGTCAAAGGGGAGGGGGCACCGGAGAAAAAAAAAGAAAAAAAAGAGAGAAAAGAAAGGAAGAAAATATTCATGCCTGCTCAAAGGGAGCCTCTTTTTAAAATTGCTGGAAGATCGCTCCTTTTGCCATCTACCCAAATAACCACCAGAAATCCACCTCTATTGAAGCGCTTACCCTTTAAATCCAGGTTTCGAGCAGAACTCCAACTGTGTGTAAAGCCAGGGAGTCATCTGATGTGTGATGGGGAATGGGCTCTAGGCAGCAGAAAGCAGCTTTCTCTCCTGGTGCCGGATTACCATGTTAACAAACCCCGTGAAGGGACCCCGGCGCCTCTGGCTGGCCATGTCTCGTTGCTTTCACACATCGGCGGCTGCTCTTGCTTCCCATGTCCCCGGCGATCGCCTCTCAGATGAATGTGGGCTTCCAGAAAAGGAGTCGGGGGGGAGAGGAGGAAAAAAAAAATCGCCTAATGCAATCAAATCGATCTGATCTACACCATCTGTCGCCTGCCACTACACACAAGCGTTAAAATAGGAAAACGGGAGACACTGACAGCTCAGGAAGGTTCTTCTGCAGAGTTCATTTTTAGCAGAGCATAATTGGGTATGGACAGCATACAGTTACCAAAGCTGCTGTTAACCATCCAGTAGAGGATCCCAAACATGCTAATGGTGGATTAATTGAGGAAGATCTGACGTGCAAGCTTCATAGTCTCTTATTCATGACTTCCCAACGGGAAAGGACCAATGCCGTGTGGGACTATGGTAACACAGAGTCAAAGAGCTGCTAAGAAAATGGCTCTGTGTTCATAGCACCTCTCTCTGATAACAAACATATGTCGACCAGAACCGTTTAGCAGGATGGGGAAAATGAAATTTTCTTAGCCGAGGTTAGCAATTCCCATCGCTTGCACTTAAAGACAAGTGAAAAATGGACTGCGGGTCTAAGGCGCTTTCAAGTGCTGGTCTCAGGCTTTGCAGCCAGTGAAAGCAGACGGATCCTGCTCAGATGTGGGGTTAAACCCCAAATTCCTTACTTCTTACTGTCACCAAAGCGCATCCTTAGCAAAGCTCTAAACAAGTAGCTCTTCTAATTTCATCAGGAATGATGCAAGGTCGAGTTAATGCCAGGAACCCTTTTGACTTTTTCCAGCGGGAATGGGGCTTGGGCAAGACATTTCCGATCACTGAAATTTGACATAATCTCAGATAAATATGATTGGGGGGGGGAGGGAGGGGGCGGCGAGTTGGGAAGAGTATGCATCCAGACCTGCGATCACCCCTGCTGCCAACACGCCAATTTGGTCGCGTTTTCTAGTCTTTCCTGAATTATGAGGTTATAGCGCCTTATGTATAATTATTAAAGCCATGTATGTACACAAGCCACAGACGCCTACGGCAGCCGCATCTACACGCACCAACGGGGAGACAAAGTGAGCT